TTGGGGTAAATGCAAAAATAGCAGAACATGAATGATACTGGAAAGATGCCCCCATGATATAAGATGATCCCATGTGTAATATCCTGATTACAATAATGCCCTGTTAAAAAAAGCTAATCATAAATACCATAAATCTAGGCATGCCTTTGGGTTTTATAGCAATAGATAGATGCACCACACTGATTCACCATCAAGGATTACTGAGCATTAAGTTTTGGCTATTTTCCCCACCACTTACACTGAGGGGAAATCTAAGCAAAACACATACATTCATACTAACATATTATGAGCATATGCATCTGCCGTATTTTTTTTCTTTAGCATATACAAGAGGCACTGAGGGAGGGATGGGAGAAGAATTTTAAGTCCCTCCCTCCCTTTCTACCATCCTCACAAGTTACCTAGATATAAAGATAACTTGTGACACAAAGCATAAGGAAAGAAGACTGGAGGAGCAGAAATCACAAAGTATGGTCACTTATAACAAAGAACCTGTCACTGTGGTGGAGGGAGGCAAATTATTTTTTTTCTCTTCCACTGCAACATCCACCAAGCCATGCTCAACAGAACAGTTGTGCAGCCAGGTTGCCTTTGCCTGAGCAAACTTAAATGGTGTCTGGCTATGAGGAGCTTTCCATCCATTTTGTAGATTAACTGAAATCAGACTTCAAATGCTCAATGACCCCTGGTGCTTCACAGAACTCACTGTGGGAACCAATCAGCCAAACACTCCATACAACACTCCTTACAGATAACACAATGCAACTTCTATTCAGAGGTTAGTTTACAGATGATGTAAATAATTTCTTCAATTAACACAGAAAACAGGAACTTCAGGCTAATACACTGCTGTGCAGGCGTGACAAATTTAAAAAAGTGATCTCATGCTTATAAAGGTTGGAGATGTCAACTACAGAATACTGATTCAGCCAATAGCCAGTTTTATTAAAGATGTAATTAAAATCACATTGTTCACCTTTAAGTTCAGATCCTAGCCATAGCAATCAAATTCAGGTCCATGCAATAAAATGAAAATTAAATGCAACAGAATTTTAAAAGAAATAAAACTGGGAACCTTTAAGATTCTCTGGAGTTTCTATATTGATCTTCAAGTAAAATGCAGCTATTTTATAGCCAGCATTGCTTTTGCTACAAAGGAACTGAGCATAATTTTGGATCTTTCTTTTAATCTATACTACAAGAACCACCCTGACTTCACATCCACATTAATTCTATAACCGAAGCATTTATTAAAATTAGGAGATTACTGGAAATACACGACCTCTAAAGAGGAAGGCTGCTGAATGAGTGGCAGTGACAGGAGTATAGTTCCAAGCCATCAGTCAACTCACTCTTCATTTAAAGAATATATCATACTCCTTCAGTCGATTAGAATGTTTCGAACCTCTTCAATACACACCAGTATCATCCAAAATACATCAATAAATGTCTATTCTTGAAATACTCCATGCACCCTAATAGGAGAAAAGCAAATCTGCTGTTTCATATATGCTTGACGTATTATTCTTTAAACAATATTGTGTAGGGGAGCCTGCACCACCCTGCTTTGGCAATAAATGGTGATGCCTGCCTTGTCCAAAGTGCAGATTTCTGGTCTCTCTCAATTCTGGTGCGCCAAAGCACACAGGCAAGGCCAGAGTGTCAGGAATTGTTTTGCATAACAATCCAGATTAAGCAAGGTACATGAGACCACATCAAGAACACACAACAAGCAGCCTTGTACTGGTACTTCTGTTTCTGATAAGCAAAAGTAAAGATGTAGCCATGAAACTGTCAACTAAGCACATAATTTTAAGGGGAAAAAAACAACAAATGGTCTGGTAGCACTTTATAGACTAACAAAACATGTAGATGGCATCATGAGCTTTCGTGGGCACAGCCCACTTCTTCAGATGATCAGAGTTATTGTTGTTGTTGTTTTTCGGTGACAGACTAACTCGGCTACTCCCTGATAGTTTTAGGTAACATTTTGAGCAGGATGTATTCCAAATAGGGGCACTGGGCATTTTACGTATCCTACACAATACATAATCAATTGGTAAATATTATTAGAATGACCAACTCTCGCTTTGCTATAAAATGGGCTTAGTAAGAACAATTGATGGGATGGAATGGGGAGGATTGACCCACACGTCCTGCTCCATGTAACTAGAAGTAAATAGGCCCTTCAAAACGGCGACCCAGTGTTAGAGGGACTCTAATGTTATAATGTTCATTTATTCATAATGGTTATAGTGCAATTGTTTTGTACAGAATTTGGGTAAGGTGCACACTTAAAATGGCGGTTGTCATCAGTGACTGGAAAACAAAATGGAGTTGTGGACAGTTGAATTTTGGACTTTTCTCGCCTTAAGTGTTTGAACTTGTTACAAAATTGCACATGGCATGCTAGAATTGTGCACATGACACTCCATCTTTGCACCCGACACACATGCCAGTTTCCTGCCGAAGAAAAGATACAAGTGTCACACTTTTTGAGAGTGCGTGCACCTTTTTGTCGGTGGTCTGCAAGGTGCTTGGCACTTGTGCTTTGTCCATCACCTGTGCCGAAGGATCAGGATCCAGGGACGTGTCTCTGCACCGGTTACCTCAGCCTGTCATTGCCAACCAGGATTACACTGCTGTGGTGAAGACCCAGTAAGGACTGTAACCTGTACCACATCATTTACCATCATCATCACACCTTGGCTCCTGTGGCGAACGCGGGGGTCAAGCCAACCAGCGCGGGAACACTTGGTGTTCCTCCCCAAGGGCTAACCGCAGGCTAAGGGTTAAGGTCGCAAGCGCCGCTTTACCATCAGCATGAATTTTGTAACACATGCCCCTACCCTTATTTGTACCAGGAATCTTTCTGTCTTCTTTATCTTCCGTTTTGGGGTGGAGGTTGGGATTGTTGGTGGTTGTTTTCTATTTGTTTCATGAAAGTGTCACCTAAATTTCTACAATATATGTTGTTTAGCTTTAATCTGAACTCTGAGTTTTCTTGTGAGGGAAAATCACCTGTGATAGATACGGTGTCAGGGGATCCTCCTTTCTGGTAACTAGAGCATTTAACATCTTTGATCAGATCCTTATCCTAAATTCTAAATTAATTCAAAAGATTTTATTCGTTACTAAGACTCTGGGGTAACGCCAGTGCATGGCGTTCCATTGTGTGGGAAGAAGAGGAACCACGATCTCCTGCCTGGTACTGTAGGTAACATATGGGTGAAGTGTAAGTGAATTAGGCTTTATTATTGTATTACAGTAGATTTTCTAGTAATTGCTTTTGCATTGCTTTGTGCTGTATTAATTGCTTTAGAATTTATAGTATTTAAGGTTTAAATTGTATAGTAATTGTTTTTAAGGCTTGTAAAACTTAAACAACTGTATTAACTGCTTAAAACTTACAATAAATAAGAAAGTGGTTAAGTAGCCTGGAGTGTCCTGGTTTCCCTTGGATCTAAAATAAATCGAACCACACGACAATACCTTAAAGGAATACCTGAATGACCAGCCTCTTTTTTAAAGAAAGGTGTGGGTCACAGGGACTAATAAGCCAATATTAATTTATTTTATTAAACAAAAAAATCCAACACAAAACAAAGAAGCCTTACCACATGCTGGATATTTCTACCTATGCCCTCAGCAGCAGCAGGGCCAATATGTAGGACAATGCTGGCTGCTTGTAAATACAAGTTTGAACTGCTGCTATTGATAAGATGGAGAGAGCAAAACGGGAAGCATCGCCAATAAAAATAGGCTTGCTCCCAGAGCTGAGCAATGCCATCTAACCCTGCTAGTGGGCATCTGATCTACAATCAAATGTTCTATGCTATTCTAGAGGGAGTGAGGAGTAGGCCTGGGAAGTGCTTTCCAAACCCTGCTCTCTGAGAAATGGGCATGGAGGAGAAATTTTTGGCTTAGAATACCAAAGGCTTAGAGCTGGGCAGTTCTAATTCAGCGCTGGTCCGGCTGCCACCAGCAATATGGCAAACACCTATACATGACTGTGGCTTTCCTCTTGTCAGTAGAGTCACTGATATAAAATGAAACCGCTCACATGCATAATAGCTTGCACAAGCTAACCTACAGTTAACACCACCCAGCTGGGAACAGGGCATTGATGGTTGCATTAACAACAGAATCTCTCTGCTTCTGAAACAGATCAAGATTGGCTTAGCACATCATATAACAGGTGCTTTTCTATAAACATTTTAAAAAGGAAGGGGAAAAAAATCAAACCTGCTTCCTCTCAGACTTTACCTTTCTACTTTTCTATACTTACTATAAAATAGTACATTACCATCTTTAGTAAGAATTATTTCCAAGCAATGGAACTTTCTTCTCATGCACAATCAAGTTACATTTATTACAATGATTTTAAAAAGACATCTACTTAAAGACTAACATTTTTTTCTTTCTTACCTACATCAAAATGTAGCATTTTATTTTTAACTGCAATATTTCAATTACTGACCTCAGTCCAAAAGGCACAGAAAGTAGTGTACCCAAATTATTAGCCCTGTTATACTTTATTATCAAATTAGCCAACAGCTACAAAAATGAAAATTTCAGTTAATGCAATATTTTTCCAAAATTCACTGTACAAAGACATTGAAATTTTTTATTTAGTCAACATTCAGTTATTTCCTACAGTAACTATGGGGAAAGACCAAGGAATATTGCAGATATAGAGGTAATCTTACAAAGACCACCATTGTAAGTGTGTGTCAGTCTACTATATATGACAAGTCTGAATACTCAGCCATTTCATGAGCTGAAGAACCCTTTATGAAGTTCTATACATAGACAATATCCCAGTACCATAATTTTAACACATTACAATGTACTTTACAAGGTAACTATTGCAATAATTTCCCAACATTAAACTGAACAGAGCACAAAACAATTGCACCAACACTTGGATGATACATATTCATAATTAAAAGTGATCAGACATTAACACCTGGAAAAAGTTCACACTATGTTATACTTACCTTCTGGCTCTGATGCCCATCACTCTCATCAGATACACCATCCTCCTGCTGGTCGTAAGCTGGACCTCCTAGAAGTCTTATTCTCTTCTCACACTGCTTCTTTGCCACAGTCAACTGATTAATATACCTTTTCACATTGCGGGCCCTCAAGAGGTCAGCTTTCATTGCAGCAGTTTCTTTAGCTTTAGTATCTATGAGAAACAGCAGAGAAATGAGAAGTTGTCTTTCACAATGGAAAACTTCGGATTACAAGCTTCTGAAGTGTTGTCATTCAACATCCAGCTGGACACTGGAATAAAAATACTTGGAAGTCTGCTTCTAAAACAGACCATGCCAGTATCTACTCAGGAGACAGACTCGAATCAGATTAACCCCACTCAAATCAACAAAGTCCTGAAAGATTAGACCAAGGCTGTTTGATGGGATATTAGATTTGAGATAACATGGGGAAATATTTTTGAAATTCAACAGAATAGAGCTTGTGCATAAAACAAATACAGACATTCAGAGCACTTCAAATTTCCATACTCTCCCCACTGAATCCTCCCAATAGTTCTAAAAATGTCCAGTTAAAAACACAGATAAAAACCAACCCATGCAGCACTGAAAATTATTCCTGTGCTTTGCCTGAATGTGAACAACTCTTGCAAAATCATGGTCTTTGGGTGTGTCTAGACTACATGGCTCCGTCATCGGAGCCATGTAGATTAGGCAGGATGACAAAGGGAAATGAAGCTGTTATTTAAATAATCACCTCTTCATTTAAATAAAAATGATCACCGTGCTGTGCCGTTCAGCTGTTAGTTGGCACAGCGCGGCAGTCTAGACGGGGATCTGTCGATCCCAGAACCCTTTGCTGTCAGATCCTTTAGTTCTGGGGTCAGCAGATCCCCATCTAGACTGCCGCGCTGTGCCGACAAACAGCTGATCAGCACAGCGCGGTGGCCATTTTTATTTAAATGAAGCGGCAATTATTTAAATCGCCGCTTCATTTTCCCGTGTCGTCCTGCCTAATGTACATGGCTCCGTCGACTGAGCCATGTAGTCTAGATACACCCTTTGTTAAAAAGGTAATTCAATGCTGTTGCTCAATGACAAAACTTCTTATATCTGTGTAACAAGAGTTCTGCAGCAAGTTAACATGGCAATACAGAATTAAGCCATAGTCAGAGCATTGCTGGTTGTTCCCCTTTGTCTGAGAGATAGGGGAAAGTGCACAGTCTGCTGCATTCCTCACTCTGGCTGCGGAGTGCAGGGGGCAAAAGAGACGAGAACCTTTTGCTTCCTGACAAGGACAGGAAGGGGAAGAGCAAACAGCTTTGGTACAAATCTTGGGGGGAAGGTACAATGTCCCCCCGTCCACCCTTGTACTTGCGCGCATGCACACACACACACACACACACACACACACACACACACTGTTCCTTGCCCATCCTGCACTCTTCCAGCCCCCTGTCCTGACCCCCTCCTTAAAAACCTGAGCAATGCTGGGTAAATGTGCTAGTATAATAATATATGCATACACATATAGTGATGGTGAATGGGATTCTTTCTGGGTTAAACATACAAACATATATACATCTAAATACATGTATACCTGTGTGCATGACAGACAGATTTGGAGCTGCTCAGTAATTTGTCTAAATACTATCTGTTGGCCTGGTATTGAGGCATTTGCTGAATGACTATGATGGTTTAAAGACAGGAAGGAAAAGAATTGCTCAATACAGACATTGCTCACATACTTCATAGTTGTTAAGAAACCGACAAGAACTATTAGCTTTGATGATTTTGCCTCCACCTCAAGCCACAACTACAAAGTAGATTTTGACCGGGACAGAAAAAGGCCCAAGAATATTGAAAAGTAATGGGATTTATAAGGCCGCTGTCCTAAGGAAGCAGTTATTTAGGGGAAACTGACAGACACAGGAACCCAATGAGTAGACTCTAGGTCGCCATCACAGGATGAAAGGGCTATAGGCCAGACTGACATGCATGTAAACTATTTTAAAATCCATTCTTTAATAGTTTGTTCCTACTGCTAGGATAAACAATACTTTGGCTTTAAGAAGGTTGTCTGATCATAGTATACCACTAGTCACAGACTCCCAAAGGGAAAAAATGAACATGTTCAAACTCAACAGGATCCGCAGGATAAAAATGCTGGATACCAAAGAACTGTAGCCCAGGGCCTTGTCTAAGAATGGAAGAATTATGTAATTCCACCATGAAATAGGTCAAATGCATGAGAGGGTGCACCAGAGAGACAAGAAAAGGACAAAGGCAGCTAGCCCTGTAACTGTGTGCATGTAGAAGAGAACACACATGTACACACACACACACACACACACACACACACACAGGCAGAGAATTAATAAAAGGGACAGGGAGGAGATGGTGAGTGAGCAAGCAAGAGAACACACACTCGCACACATGGAGTAAGGACATTAATAAAAGGGGCGATGGAAAGCCTTTTGGGAGAGCATTTTTGTTTAATTGGTGTTTGTCAAAAAGTGAGCTGCAGTCATTTGAATAGTCATTATCAGAATGTTTTTGTTTTATCTAACGGCTATCAGTGGGAATGTCAAAGGATAGATTTTAATTTGGCATCTCCCAATATCTGTCAAAATTCTTTGTTCATTAAACATTTTGCAATTTGGGGGGAGCATATTGTACCTCAAGTCTTTTTCCTCTTCTCCTCCACTTCTCCCATTCTATCACATATGTATCAACTTTTAACCAAGAGATTGAAATAATAAATTAAATGCTCTGTTGGCTCATAGATGAGATTTACACCATGAAGTCACGTGGCTCATTTTGAGAGTTAATCATTCAAGCAGAAGATAAAATGAGTTATCACTAGAACTGACTATTTACATGACATCATAGATTTGCATGTAATTTGATAACACATAGTCCTTATCCACAGGAGTTCATTCATACATACATATATGATAGAATCTTCAGATGTCTTAGGTTGACTTCTTGGAATGTTTGGTTTCATAATATTAGCATAATTAGAAGACAGACGAGAATGACAGAATGAAAAAGAGTAGCAGAAAAGTGGTGGAAAGGAATGTTTTGAAGAATAAGATTGATCAGCACACTGAGGTAGGGAGAGGCAGAATGGTCTCACGAATGGGAAGTGACAAAAGGAGCATTAATATTGTCAGGAGCATTAATGTTGTCAATTCTACAGGATTATAAGTATGCTGTGTTTCTATCTGCAAAGCATGGGGGAACAGGAACTATAAGTAAAAGAAGTGGAGCTATCTGGAAAATTTTCAGAATACTTTTTCATTAGACTTTCCCAATTCATCAGAATCTAAATGTCTTGCAAAGTCCTTTTGATTTCAATGAAGCCATTTCAGAACTAAGCAAAATAAAAATAGCATATTTTATTTTATTTACACTTTCCTGTTTCATTCTGACTTGATGCTGGAAAATTCCATTTCAGTGCAAGTCTCAGAAGGGTAGCTGTGTTAATATGATTCAGTAAAAACAATGAGGAGTTCTGTGGCACCTTAAAGACTAACTGATGCATCTCTGCATGTGTATATATACACACATCTGCCAAACTGAAGTTTCCACTTCACGAATCTGATGAAATAAGCTTTCTTGGGCTAGAGCCTATCTCCAAATAAGTCTTTAAGGTGCCACAGGATTCCTCATTGTTTTTGCATTTCATTGCAGTGTGTTGTCACATGTTGTACTGTGTGTTCTTTCACTTGATGTATACGTATTAGTTCATCTTATCTATATGAATTCACAAGCTTATTAAAAATTATTAATTGACTCCAGGTGGATTTCTTTTGATACTTATCAGGTCAGGAATAAGCCCATACACACCCACAGCAGGAAAAGGAGGAGATGTGAGTATCAGTAATATAATACATATGGAGATGTGTACTATATGCAGCTGGGAGAGAGGACAGTGCAGTAGTAAAGGAAGTGGTGTTATAGTCCCTGGCTCCCATGTAGTAAAGAAAGAGTTACTATATTATGTTGTTTATTGTTAGAATAACAACATTAACAACTATTTTTGTGACTGAAAGAATTGGGGTCAGGGATATATAAACCAACCAAGAAAGAAAATTGGCTGGGAGGCCTTGAACTTTCCTCCTTTTCCCTGAGTGGAACCAAGAGAAGATTGCTCAACCAAACTGCAGCTGTGGGAACCAATGGTGTAGCCTCCGCCCACCATTTCAGGAACCTCTTCTACTGTTCTTGAGAGTAACAGCTAAGGTGCCCCTGGTCTCCACTGCCCTTTCACAGACCACAACCATCCTGAAGCTCTTCCCCCCTCACCTCCCTGAGGAGAGAAGCAAAAACTCACCTGCATACAACAGATTGCAGGCTTAGCCGCAGCCAGTCCCACATCTCTAGGAAAGACCTTGATGAGGTGCTGGCACTGTGGCTAGGGAGGGGTAAGTGGAAGGATGTGAGGGAGGAATGGGGCACGAGCCCCCGATGGGGAGGACCGAGGTGGCTGAGGGCTCCTAGGGGTGAACGCTCTCCCGCAGGACGTCCTGGATCCTGACAGCCCCCTGATGGGCCCCCTGGATGGCAGCCTGCAACAAGTGCTGATGGGAACAACCCCACGAGACTCACCGGTGTGCCCAGAGGCAGCTCTGGTTCCATGTGGCCGAGTGCTGTGGTGTCCCGAGAACGGGCACTCAGGGCACTCCAAGACAGGACTGCTTTGCTGTCCCTCAAAGAGGTAGACAAGCAAGCGGGGAACCCTGAGAACTGTCTGTCCAGGGTGGGGATAGGGTCCCTTTAAGCACGGAGCTCAGTTAGCCTCAGGCAGCAGCCCCACACACTAAGTCCTAACCTGATGCCCCGCCAGCACTGGTTCCGGCCAGCCTTAACTTCGGTTCAGGGTCTACTCAGTCTGGATGCACTATTTCGAAATAGGTTGTGTGTGTAGATGCGTTATTTTGAATTAGCTTAATTCAAATTAACTATTTCGAATTAAGTTAACTTGAATTAATGCTGTAGTGTAGACATGCCCCTAGTCTATAACGTGCCACAGGACTTCTAGTTGTTTATGCATATTCAGACTAACATGGTTACCCCTCTGAAAATTAGAAATGTAGTTCTTAGCAATACATTAACTAAACCATATTCTACTGTTTAACCAATATCTGTTCCTCTTGATGGACACAACATAAAACTAATGTGTATCTGT